TTTATTATCTTATTCTCTACTTATAAAATTTTAGAGTTACACAATATTAGTGTGGTTTATAGGTGATAGCCACCATAGTATAGCTTTAAAATAATGTAAAGCTATATGCAAAATTTAAGCATATATTGTTTTGAATAATATTTTTATTTAAGCTGAAAACTGTTCTATAAAAAATAATCAATATGGATGTCAATTCTCTAATTGAAATTAACTGTCATGCTGATCACCTAAAATAACCACTAACTGATATATTTGAAAAAGAAAACATATTAACTTTTGTTTATTATTTTTTTTCCAAACATATGTGAGAAAATGTAAAAGAGTGACTAGTTGTAACACAGGACCTACCATATAAGAAAATAATACTGATAAAGCATATGTTATAAAATGCTAAGGACTTTGAAATTTTGAGATTGCTAGAAGTGAAACTAACTATATGTCTTTCTAGTAGATCTGATCCCTTTGAGATCCTCTCTATATGAAAAGGTATAAAGATTCCATTTACATATACTTTTATAAAGCTTAACATCAGATGATAATACTAATTGCATCTTGTATCTCCTTAACTTTTTCCTTCTTAATAGCAAGATATAAAGCATTTTAGACAAATAAAAAGAAACAGACTGTAAATTAAGTATTTAGAAATGACATTTTAATTATATCTATGGTATTGTGATCACAGATATAAAATAGCATTTTATAATATATACTCTAGATGGTATTTACTATACAAGTGATAGTGAAATATAAGATTAATCTCACAAAGTCAGCTATTAAAGAAAATCTGAATTACTTTATAGCAACGTGAAAAGGGTAATTAGTATCATTGTGGAGTTATTAAAAGATTGTGTTAGTATAAATAGTTTCTCAGCTAGCAAGAAGGCTAAAATTAAAAAAATTATCAAAAAATAATATGTATCATGAGCTTAGTTCAGACCTTTATATTTATTTTTTACATGTAATAATAAATTTTTTTCTTGGTAAAAGTAATCTGCATTCCAAATTGAAATGGACACATGATCTTTTATTATTTAATTTGAATAATTAGTATACTAAACAAGTATTATTAATTATGTTAAATGTATAATCTATTGATTCATTAAAAAAGGTAAATGCTAGACTCTTAGTTGAGATTTTTGAACTCAAGAAGAAGTTTGCAGAGTTTAAGACTAAGAATGTGAAACTGAAGCAGATTATTGAGAAAAATGTCAGATGTGATGCTAGAGTTGAGGAATTAGAGCAAAAAATATGGAGCTTGAGGCTAGACTAGTAATAGTAGAACAGGGTTTCTCAATAGTGAATAATCAGCTATATAAAGAATTAATATCAAAGAGGTCTGTAAAGCAAATCATATCAGATATTAATTTATCCAGCTCTATATTAGACCAGTGAAATAATGATAATACCAAGACATTAGAAGAAAAGAAAATAGACATTTTCTTGATTAAGATAAATAAGAAAAGCATTAGTGATAAAATTAGAGAGAGCAGACAAGAAAAGAAGGTTCAGGATAAGATGATTGCTAAAGACTCATCCTCTATTACTTCAGACTTGACTCACTGTGAGAAAGACCTCTTCATGATTAGTGTTGAACTTGTAACTATTCTAAAACAGGTAATCAAAGAATCAATTCCAGTCTGTAAGTCAGTTATCTTTAGTAACAAATCATCTACTGGAACATCGCTAGTAAAATCGCCTATGGCGGATAAATAAGTTTTAGCTTCTGAAAATACAGAAACAAAGTGTCAAAAAATTTCTTATAATTAAAAAGTGAAGTAAGATTTGAGGCAAGAGCTATCCTTCACTGAAGTTGATGATGGTAAGATTAATAAGATGTTTGATATTTAGATTTCTGAATTTTATTTAGAAACAATTCTTATGGGATCTAGTGAAGTTATAATACAGAATATAGTTGATCTATTTAGAGTGGCTATAAAGCTTAAACGTAAGGAGATTTTATGCTAGTATTATTACTATAAAGCATATGAATATTGAGTTGAAGATGTTAAGTCTAAGAATGGTGTTAATAACAAATTAGCAAAAATATTGATGTATAGCGAAATTAAACCCTTTTTTCTAACATTACTGATGTAAACTTACGTAAAATACCTTTCAAAGCTAAAAAAATCTATATATTGTTTAATAGGATAAAAATAAATAGAATCTAAATAATTAGCTGTAACGTAAGTATTATCTTGAATTTATCTGATAATCAGATCCAGGACATTATAAATGATTTCTTTCCAAAAGTTACTAATACAGATGATATAGATTATGATGATTCTGTTCTAAATTAAAATAGACATGTGACTTTGAAAACTAATAAAACTGATGTATCAGAGATGCAAATGACAATTGCATCTTAGCCAACCTATGACTGCATCTATTTTCGCAACAAAGCATTAGATCAATATTCTAATTTATATAGAGAATTTAGTAGTAAAAATATTGATTATTATGAAATTACTGATGAGACTTTATGTCCATTATGCAAGTTAAATCATGATGATGAGGAAGGTATAGAAGATAAATATGAAGCTAAATCCTATTTTATTAAATGTGAACAGCGTAAAATTGAGATAATTGCATAGTCTTATTGTTCTTTCTTATACCATGGATACTTTGAAAGATAGTCTAACTATTTTCTTAAAAATATGATAAAAAATATTAGTAAGCTTTCTATCAGGAAATTTTAATTCTTTTTTAAATGAATATAAGAATAAAAGGAATTTAAACTTACTCATAATCATATAAAATTTAGATATGATCAGTTCGATAAAATATTAACTACTAAATACCTGGATTAGTATACTAAATTAAGTAGATTACCAAGCATTTTGATAGATAAGATTTATTCTAATTTATATAAAAGATATAAAAAAGAAACTAGAAATAAGCTATGATAATTATCAAAAATCTACCTTTTTAAAAATTCGAAGCAAAAAATAAAGTATCCTATTTATCTTTTTCTGAACAATGTGAAAAAAAAGGATCTATCACTTTCGAAGCCAAACCTATTCAAGAATTAATTATCAAATTCATGTTAGATCACTTTTCATACTTAAAATTCAAAAATAGTTTTAGAGGGATTGATAATTATAATTTTGTATCACTTCAGCCGTGAAGCTTACCATATTCTATTTGCGGTGAAAAATATAGGAATTATGGATTACATAGCTTATGGTACTGTGAAAATGAGAATCAGTTCTCTTATGATTCTAAATTAGCGAAGTTGCTATCTTAAGATAAGTTGAAATATTATCTTACCTACAACACTTCAAGCAATAAACTTAAGTTTGCAATTATGGCTTAGACTAGAAGAATTATGAAGAAAAAATATTCGTATATTATTTTGTTTCTTTTTTTCAAATCTCGTAGATGGCTTATATAAAAGAAATTGAAATCAGATACGCAGCTAATATCAGAAAATTCTTGCCAAGATTTTTCTGAATATGTCATTGAAATTAAAGTTTATCATAGATTAACTAGTAGATCCCACTTCTATTAGTTGGAAATATAAAGAGTCTTCATAATTATCATATGACATAGCATATATTGTAAATATATCTCCTTTGCCTCAAGCTAGAATAGAGAAATATTGTTCGAAAAAATAATTGTATATAATAGTCTACAATCATATCATATATATAGGGCTAATCTCATACTATGTAATTTATCTTAGCTCAATGTATTGCAAATAAAAAATGTTTAGGCCACTAACGGAAATCTATATCAGCAAATTATTAGGCAATAAGATTGCTAGTAAAGATCCAGAGACTTTTATTTTCAAACTTTCTTACATATTCTTAAAATTATTATGTATAAGGACCCCTTGATGATCTTTACATATAGATAGCATTAAATTCTTTTATTGTTATATTAAGGAGAATCTGTTGATCAAATTTTCACAATACAATCATATTAACATAATTTTTTCTAAAAGTATATAACAAAATTAATCCTGTAAATTGTATAATAAAATGATATTTCAGCTAGTAAATCCTTTTATCTGTCTTGTATAAGTAAAATAAAAAATCAACAATATCTCTAATCATATTTTCTGTAAAGTAATAATAAAGTGAGTTAATTTATTATTTAGCTAGAATCTTGAAATATGTCATCATGATGTTAATCAATTTTCTCATTTCTATAGATGTTTCAAAATAAAACGGACGTATTACTCTTCTTGTTATATATAGATATTTTGATCTTTACCAAGAAAATCACTGATCATCATCATGCGTATAATAGACACAGTGAAATTATTCATATGAATTTTATCACATGCTATAGCACAGCAAAAGTCTAACATAGCATATTGAATAATTTTTTTAGTAATAATACAGAAAAAATTAAGTAATCAATTCCTTATATATAAGGTATATGGTAGAGATATGCTTTGAATCTGATCAATCTGGATATTCAATTATCCATTTAAAATTTAACCAGATTCAGATTAATTCGTTTATATTACTAGATTAACTGAATAGATTATCAGATATCTGATGAACAAATTGGACAGTCAATTTGACTTAGGTAAGCATAAATTTTTTTTTATTTTTATTTTTTTTTACAATAATAATAATATTAAATCTATATATTACATCACTCACACACACATACATACCTCATATATACACATACACATCTCTTACATACACACACATACATATATACATACACACACTCTCTCTCTTTTTCTCTCTTCTCTCTCTCTCTCTCCTCCTAGACCTTTTACTTCAAATTTTGACTTGAACAGCTTGAATTCAAATGGTAAGTGCAAAATTCTTCCTTTTTTTTGTCTTGAAAATGTTACTAACTTTCATTTTACTTTTTTTCTTTAGAGAACGCCTTTCTAAACCTAAATTTTAGCTTAGACTATAAAGGTAAATGATGTGAGGAATTGTTTTTATTTCTTCTTTGTCTTTAAAATGCTATTAACGTTTTTTTTGCTACTTTTCTTGTGAGATTTTTTGTTTTCCTTTGTCTTTGGAATGCTATTAATATTTCTTTTACTTTTTTTCTTTAGAGAACACCTTTCTGGACCTGAATTTCAGCTTAGGCTATAAAGGAAAGGTGGTATGAGGATTATTTTTGTTTTTTTATTTTTAGAATGCCATTAACATTCCTTTTGCTTCTTTTCTTGTGGTTTTTTTTTATTTTTCTTTGACTTTGGAATGCTATTAACATTCTTTTTGCTTCTTTTCTTTAGGGGACACCTTTTTAAATCTGGATTTTGGCTTGAATTATGAAAGTAAGTGGTGTGGAAAATTGTTTTTATTTCTTTTTTATCTTTGAAATGCCATTATCATTTCTTTTGCTTCCTTTCTTTAGAGGATACCTTCCTGGACTGTGATTTTGACTTGAATTATAAAAAGAATAGATAAATTTTACTTTTTTTTAATTCAAAAATGATACTATAAATATTTCTTTAATTTTAATATAAAATTTACACACACTTTAAATAGCTAATTAAAAAAAGATAGATTCACTTTTATAAAACAATTTAATTAAAATATTCTATAAAATTTCTATATAAAGTTTTTGTTTTATCTAACTTTAAAAAAGATTGGTTGTTTCATAAAAATACTTGTTACATATACTCCTTTTTTTTGATTTATACATCCTTTTTTTTCACATGCGTTTTTTTTTTTTTTTAATTATTTTTTTTTTTTTTTGTAAAAAGTTTTCACATTTTTTAATAAATTTTTAATAAATTTATAAACATAGATTCAAGTTC